ACAGTGGAGATTGGAGAGAATTGCTGCACGAAACCAAATAAAGGCGAATTTCGATGGGGGGGAAATGTCGAATGCCGCTAAAAAAGCCAGTCACTCGTGAAGCAAGAGAGGTTCTGCGTTGGAGAGGCCAACAGAGGAGAGGAGAGGGGGGGGGAGAGACTTAATAAAAGCGAAAGACACATAGGAAAGGGAGATTGAAAAATTGAGTAGCTCCATTTTGTTCTAATATTGCTCCTCTCTTGGTTGACGATGATTTCGGATAACAGTTAAAAAAAGAGCCTAATAAAGTTAGCTTATAACCCTATTGCACATTATAGTAGTATACCGAGTGTTGTATAGAATGTTCAGCCATCTTTCAACGCTTAGATCTTGTAAACTTCGTGGATAAGTTAATTCGCTTCATTTTTGTTGACAGAGCACACATCAGCGAAGAGAAGACCTAACCTAACCTAACCTAACCAATCGTCTATCTTTCTTTTGTGCATATGTTAAAATAATATTGTTATTCGGATATTAAGTATATATTGGATAATATTTATATTTTTTTTTAATGTTTAAAGTGATTAAGTTAACTAATAAAAATATATATTTCGCTGAATAAAAGTTGGTTTAAAAAACAATTTCAAATAACATATATCTTGTTAAAATATGGAACATACATCAGAGGTTTTCATACTTTTACTACTAAGTAAAAGTTACCACTAAATAAATAAAGCTGTCTCTTTAGTTGTCAGTTTTGAGTCAATATTTTTCAATTCTCTTTGGAGACAGAAATGGCTCAAAACGAAATAAGTAAATTACCAACAGATATTCAGGCTGTGGCGACAAAAGCCATATCCAAACCACTTCTATTTAAATCCCGAATAACTTATGAAAAGGAATACAAAAATTTTCAAAAATGGAAGCAATTAAAAAACGTGCGAGAAGAAATAAAGTTTTTAACCTATCCTCGCTGTTAAAAGTATCATTTAATCTACCCTGGCGGTTAAAGTACTATTTTTGATAGATATAAGGCAATTTTAACAGTTGCTGTGAAAAAAAAAATTAATGGTCTATATTTTTGATAATTGTTGTCAACGCAGCGAAAAAACGCTCCAAGTTAGCATTCATGTCTAATCACAGTCAACATATTTTAACGACGATGTTTAACGACGACGTAATTAGTTAAATTTTAACGAGGATCTTAATAAAATTAATAAATATGCTCTGGATCATAATTTGAAATTAAATGCCGGTAAAGCTTGTGTTATAGTATTTGGTAGTGATATAAACAAAATTACAAATACGGCTGGTAACATGAATATCCATATAGATAATGTTGCGATACCCATTGTTACAGAGACTAAAAATCTTGGAGTCTATTTTGATGCGAAGCTTTCTTTTCAGGCACATATAACTACTAAATTAAAGGCTGCTTATATACGGTTGAAGAATTTTTCGTCTCTTAAGAAATATATACCATCAAAGACTAAGTATCAATTATGTGACACACTTATTTTATCTTTATTTGATTATGGCGATGTTGTTTATGGTACATCCATAAACGCTAGATTCTCTAGAAAAATCCAAATACTTCAAAACTCGTGTCTACGGTTTTCTTTTAACGTTCCTTTTAGAGATCATATTGGGAAATGCTGTCAACACGAACAGCAGAGGCTCAGATGGGCACCAAAACTGTAGCTGTTAAAACAACGCAAGGAACTCTACAAGATGGAGTAACCTCCCCTTTGCTGTGGAGCTTGGTGGTGGATGAACTACTAGATGAATTAACTCAAGCGGGAATACACTGCATTGGGTATGCAGATGACATAGTCATGATCGCTCGGGGGAAACATGAAGGCACCTTGTGTGATATTATCCAAAGAGGACTCCGTATCACTGAGAGATGGTGTAGGACTGTCGGACTGAGTATCAACTCAGACAAAACCGCGATAGTGCCATTCACCAGAAGGCGAAGTCTGAAAAACTTGAAAAGAATCCAACTAGATGGAAAGGAAATACTGCCAACACAGGAAGTTAAATACCTGGGAATAACCCTGGACAGTAAACTCCTGTGGAACAGGCATATTAAGAACACTACCAGCAAAGCCATAAAGGCTCTCATGATATGCAGAAGACTGGCCGGAAATAGATGGGGCTGCTCACCTAACATTTTGCGCTGGATGTATACCATGATAGTAAGACCCATGATTACTTATGGAGCAGTTGCCTGGTACACAAAACTAGAGCAACGGACGGCAAGGCTAAACCTATGCAAAGTCCAGAGACTAGCATGTGTTTGCATCACAGGAGCCATGAGAACCTGTCCAACAGCAGCAATGGAGGTCATTCTAGATCTAACACCACTGCACATTGTCATTGGTAGATATGCCAATGCGACAATGATTAGAATGGTCACTAACGGAATTAGTACTGGGAGAATTGTCAGATCAGGGCTTGGAACACCCTCAAAAGGAAATACCACTTCTGCAACTCCCAGTGGACGTATGCCAAGAACGTACAACTTTGACAAACATGTCAATGTAGTATTGAGCAATAAGAAGGATTGGAAGAGCGAAACGCTTGCCCAGCAGTTAAAAGACCATACCATAACTTGGTATTCTGATGCTTCCAAAACCAATACGGGAACAGGGATCGGAGTGTTTGGGCCGAGAGCTAATTACTCCGAACCAATGGGCACTTACCCTAGTATCCAACAGGCAGAAATCTACGCTATCGAGAGATGCGTACAACTTATCTTAGATAGGAACTATCGGAAACAAGAAATAGCCATCTTGTCTGATAGTCAAGCAGCGTTAAAGGCGATCAACTCAGTATAAATCAATTCGAAATTGGTCAAAGAATGCATAGAGAAGCTGAATAAATTAGGCAAAGAAAACAAAGTCCTCCTACACTGGGTGCCTGCTCACCAAGGGATAGTAGGCAATGAAAAAGCAAATAATCTAGCTAGGAAAGGAGCGAACACTCCACTAACTGGACCAGAACCGTTCTGCTTTCCAAGTGGTAACCAACTCAAGGCGGAACTCAAGAACTTGGAAGATTCCATCCGCAACCTGGAATGGAAATCTTGCAATGGTCTAGGACACTCGAAGAAGTTTCTGAGGGCTTATGATCAAGAAAAATCACAGATCTTCCTGGGTCTGAGTAAGAACAATCTTCGGATTGTCACGGGGTTTTTAACAGGACACTGTCTCCTCAATGAACACCTCAGTAGATTGAAACTAAGAAGAAACGGCGAATGCAAATTCTGTGGGGAAGATGGGGAAACACCAGTACCTCATCACTGAGTGCGCCGAGACGACAACCATTCGTGCCATGAATTTTGGTACGACTGATATTGGAGATGGAGAACTACCCTCTATAAAACCGTCCCAGATACTGGCTTTTGTCAAAGCCCTGGGACTGTATGATGAGTTATGATTCAAGAAAGGGGGACACAATGGATCTGGAAGGTCGAAGTGATTAAACCCCCTCCCACTCATTCTAAATTCTAAAATTCTAAATTCTAGAGATCATATAACGCCACATCTTAAAAATTTATCTATTTTATCCATGACTAACAGACGACAATTTCATTTAATGTCATTCATTTATCGAATTTTAACTACGGAGCAGCCTCCCTATTTGTTCTCATTGTTTCACTACGTTGACCATGATCATTCGACTAGACAAGTGCATTATTTTAAAATTCCTCAACACCGAACAGCGAACTTCCAAAAATCTTTCAGTTTCATAGCGCCACATTTGTGGAATAATATTTCTAATAACTTTAAATTTCAATCCTTTACAGATTATAAAAAAACAAATTAAAAATCATTTACTAAATTCGTAAATATTATAATTTCTTCGACTGATTTGTGAGATCTTGTTTTTCTGATATGCCTGTCATTGGTTGCTCTTCCGGTTTTTTACACTGTTTCATTATGCCTCTCTGCTTATCTCCGCTCATCCCTGATAAAATTATATTTTCACTTTTTTTATATAATTTTAATTTTGTTTATTTCTATAATTTAATTTATTTCTATTTTGTATTTGGGGTCGCACCACTCTGGCACTTTGTGCCATTGTATCGGTGCGATCCCTTTAGACACATATTTATTAATACTAATATTATTCTGTAAAACTTAATGGGGTCTAATAAAGAAATTTGAATTTGAATTTGAATTTGAACATATAAATCTGTATCATTAACGAATTATGGAGCTGTTGCTCCTTAATTCGTTAATTTTTTGAAACTAAAAAATTCATTAATAATTTTCAGGAACTTAACAAGAAATTATGAATTTAATAGAGATGTAATTATTGGCGTAACTATATAAACTGGATTTATGCGACGTGTGTAATAATAAATTCCAATGTGTAAAATTTTCCGCATAGTTTGTAATCGTTTCGTTTTGTCAAATGCAACTGTTTTCGAGTAAAACAACCGGTGAGTGTATTTGTATATTTATGTGAGTATGCGTCCAGTTAATTTTATGCGTGTCCCTAATTTGACATTCCCAAACGCGATTATATTAAATTAAATTGGATATATATGAACAAAAAGTTGATCTACAATCATATTACGCCGGAGAATTATTGTATTAAAATGAAATAATTCGTTTTGATTGCGAGAGATAAACCTCAATAATATTTAATATATTAATAATGTAATATAATATGTTAATAATATATATAATTATAATTATATTAATTTTAACCGTGTTTACAATAACAAAATGCTTTAAATAAATAACTATAGCACCAGCTCATTTTTTCAGGTAAAAAAAATATCCTCGTCGAGAGAATTCATTTTGCAAAACCATTTTACATTAAATTTTGATTAAAAACTTGGCAAAAAGTTTCTTGTGCGTGCATTTTTATTAACAAGCGAATTATTACACTGAAATTTCATCTTCCAGCTTCAAAGAAAATGCGAGAATAAAATAAAAACGTAACGATCTAGCTCATTCCGAGGCAATAACCGGGTACAATGGAGGGGAAATGAAAGAAAAACTCACCTGAATAGAAGAAAACCTAGGGCGGTTACGGCGGCCCTCCTGACGTCATCGTTCACATCTGAAACCTGCAAAAAAATGAGAAAAAATTATATAAAACATGTTAAATAAGCACATACGGAGTGATCAACAATCATTGATATGTATTTAGTTCTAAAGACCTAACAGTATCCATAACGATATACTAATGGCTGGCAAAGGCTAGTCTTGGGTCGAGATTTCAGAAGAGTCAGAGAAGAAGAGTACAATGCGTTTATAATGTACTGAACAAAGAGTGGACAGTAAACACGTTGCCAAACGTATGAAATAAACCGATTTTTGGTAAAAATAAGTGGAATTGAGTGGGTGTTCGATAGTGGTCGCGCTATTAGAACTCTGAATTCAAAAATCGATATCTCGAAATCTATTAGAAATAATACATTGTAGTTTTTCAAGAACTTGTTGATATTTCTGCTATATTTTCTTTGTAGACAGTATGTGAAAATCTTTATCAATAAAAAAATTACACGATTGCTGAAAATTGCTATGCTCTAAAAGTAAATGGATGGATTGTTTACAATTTTTGAATGGAAAAAACAACCTTATCGAATTTTTCTTATGTAAACATATTGTAAAATATCCGATCTTGAAAATAAAAAAAGGTTTCAATATCTAAGCGGTTCTTGAGTTATGCCCTGTTATGTGTTAAAAAATTGAGTGTTTACTGACGTTTTCTCGTTATAAAAAAAATGACACCCTAACGATATCCTTCTAATTCCATTTCAGATGCTCAGAAACATGTCTAATGATTTTATCTAGTTATCTCTTGAAAAAAAAGGCTTTTAAAAATAACCGGTTTGTGATCGTGATTTTATTTTACTTGATAGGGAAAGGCGTACCTGCAACGCCGCAACAGCACACCGTCGCATTTCTCTCACTCCGACTTAATAAGATCCCTATGCGATTTACTTCCACACATGTAAATGCCGACCCAAAAGTAACAGTTGCCAGCACGGTACAACAAATTTAAACATTTAAGAAGATTTTACAACGTTTATAGGCTTTGGTGTCTGTGTCGATATGATTGATGATGTGCATCGGAAAATGTTTGGCGATTACAATATACTTTATACATCAGTTGTTATCAATCTGTGGTAGGTAGATACGATAATGCTGCATGGTAAATTATAATTATCGATCGCGCGATAGGGTTGATAGGGCGTTAGTAACTAATTGTGTTGTATCCCTTTGATGTTCGGGTCTTAATATTTAAACCTTTAATGAATAGATTAATAGCTAGTGTCTATGGATGCTGTCGCGGAAAGGTAATAACATTGACGTTCGGTAAGCCTTGAGAAATGAATAGTTTCAACCTGGGAAGGTCTACGGTAGATGCAATTAACTGTATATACCAAAATTGACATTAAGAAATAATTAAAAGAATTATACATTAATAATTATTTTTCATTATAATTTTCTATCTAAATTAAAAAAAAGTCCGATGCTATAATATCTAATTTGTTAGATACTCCAAATAGCAATTAAAATACCAGAAAAATTCAAAAAAAAATCATGAAATCTAGCGTTGGGTTAAGTGGTTAATACTTCACCCATTTTTCTCTGTTCGACATACTTGATCGCTATAACGATTCACTCCTAGACATACAGATTGTTAACTGGACGGTTACTTATTGGGGGACAGAATGGCAACACTGCCTACATTCCAAATAAGTACTAAGCTAAGCTGCCGTCCAGTCGCGTCGTCTCTCGACGAGCGGGCCGAGGTTGCCATATTGTGAGACAGGAAATTGTAGAGAGAAACAGGCCCTATAACATAGGATAAAACATTTTAATGAACAGTGCTTTCCATAAAATTAAAAATATACGAAATAATATACATGTACTGATTTCTTTCGAAAATCGACAACTATGAAACTATGAACCCTTCCCGGACACAAAAGGTACATTGTGAGACAGGATATTGTAGAGAGAAACAAGCCCTATAATATAGGATACAACATTTTAATGAACAGGGCTTTCCATAAAATCAGTAAAATGAAAAATATACGAAATAATGTACATGTACTGATTTCTTTCGAAAATCGACAACTCTATGAAACTATGATCCCTTCCCGGACACAAACGGTACATTGTGAGACAGGATATTTTAGAGAAAAACAAGCCCTATAACATAGGATACAACATTTTAATGAACAGTGCTTTCCATAAAATCAATAAAATGAAAAATATACGAAATCCCATGGTAGCAGCACCGGCAATCATACTACAAAAACTATTGTTATAATATGGCATTTACAATATTGGAATATTATTTTTATTTTAATTAAAGAATAAGTTATAATGCTAGAAGTAATAACACAGTTAATTGCCGCCGAAGATTAATTTTCCAAATCGACCCTGATGTGACTTCAGATGTGCCTAAAATGTCTTCGCCGTGTAACAGCGACGTTCAGAATTCCAACTAGAACCGCCTTTGAAATTAGCATTTAATCCGACTGCGAAGCCGCTTCGAACAGACGCCACATGACAATTCTATGTGACGCGTGTGAAGGGAGATATACAGGGTGAGCCCTCTTCTTATCTCGACGTCCAAACATCCACACATTTAACGAGATATGTATATACTCTACTTTATTACCAATCCAACCACAATACCTTGATCGGAGATTTTTTGCACATCGTAGTTTCACAACGAGATCTATCGATTAAAAATATTTTCAATATGGCGGCACTTCCGGAAATACCGGAAGTTGACAACAACTTTCTTATTTTAAATGGGTACCCCAATTTTTTATTGCATACTTAAATTCTCTGTAAAATTTTATGAATTTTGATATCGAACATATTTTTAATCGATAGATCTCGTTGTAAAACTACGATGTGCAAAAAATCTTCGAGCTAGATGTTGTAGTTTTCAAGAAACTTCTAATGCACGCTCAGCCTGGGACACCCTGTATATTTTGCACCCCCAAAGACTCACTGCTTTATTTTTGATAGTTATTAAAAATTAGTTCTGAATGAGCTTTGAAGATAAAAACAACAGATTTTTAGTCTTTTGAATAATTGTAATTTCAATTTATTTTACATTCACCACAGGCAAAAGTTAATTATGCAGTGCGTACGACGTATGAAATTAGTACAACTTGATTTTCTCGCTTGTTCTTGTGTGTGTGCGCCGCTATTGTCGTCAGTCTAATTGCCAAAATGCTGATTGTACATGCTCCAGCATCTGCTGGCTTTAATTAGATATGCTAACACACCCGGGCTGGTTGCCTTAACGCGATCTTCGAAATTATTTTGTTGTCGTAACAAGCCTAAAAACAATTCAATTTGCCGCGGTATAATTTTTGACCTCCGCATTTGGAGCGGTTTTATTCTAAACGTGTCATTTTTCATGGCATGTACCGGGTGGCCAGCTAAGAATGAACGCCGCCTATATCTCAGAAACTACACTAAACTATATTATCGTTTTTAGCAAAACAATAATATTACTAGCCCATTTGTATGCAAAAAGAAAACTATTTAAATCTTTATAAAAGAGTATACCATTAATTAAATATAACACCATTATTTCCGCCCATATACTAATTAATTACATACTTAATTGTGTTCGTTAATAAATTATTATAAATAAATGTGGATTTTTGAGTCAGAAATCAATGTAATAATAAGTTATCAAATTAAAGTCTTTGTTGTTATAAATAAGCATTTATTAAGAAATGAAATATCATTTTTAAGATGTTACTTTTTATCACACTGTCTAATGCCCATACAAAATTCAGTTTTTTAGTATTTGGAGCAATTATTATTAATCAACGCAAACAGTCAGTTAATGTAGTTTGAATACTGGAATCATATTAATTGGTCCTCTTTAACAAACATTTAAACAGTTTTTTTTTATTTTTTAATGAAATAAACGAATTATATCGACAATATTAGTATCTGTACTCTTTAAAAATTTGGTACATCTTTAAAAATAATCTAAAATGTCAATAGTCCATGGGTATATTAATAAATAAGTTCTAAATTACAAGAAAATGCATTTTCTACGGAAACTTAAAGAGATAGGTAAAAAATGGTATAATATAATTTGATAGACAATTAAATTGTGCATCTGATTCTCGTAAAATATACAGGGTGTTCCATTTAAATTAAACAAGTTATTGCCGTTTGAAGCCAATAATTATTTAAAATAAATTTTTAGACACTCTGTATAAGGTAGTATTATTTTTATTATTGCAACACAATAACTGATCAGTAAATAAACTTCAGTAAATATTTAGTATTAAAAACTTTGATACCCTTGGAGAAATGAAGCCTTAAAATTTTTACTGCAATTTCACAAAATTGAAAATATTTCAAAAACGGTAATGTTTAAGTATAATAAACCTTAATCAAATTTACCTTTATTTTAATCGTAGAAACTAAAAATGTAATAATATACAGGGTGTTCCATTTAAAAAAATACAACTTTGATATTTTTTACTTATTTGGGACACCCTGTATCTTGTAAAATTATTTTTAAATTGTACCTCTGATAGTTCTTCATCGAACCCCAAACTTACAATTTGTAAAAATCTCATCGTTTAGCTACAATACTCCGTGTCGTATGTGGTGAACAACCCTGTATACAAACAAAACAAAATCAATGTATATGGTTAGTCGAATCTCAGTATATTGCTTTCGAACAAAAACACAAGGAATTTTTCAGACGATCGCCCATCCAAAAACTCTCCTCGTCTATCGTCGCTTTACTTCGACGATCGCTTCAAAAACCGATATCGCTAGACCGTTACCAACTTTTAATCAAAAAATGACTTTACGTACCTCTCTAACACCTTTTTTCCCGTCCAATAAATAATTTATTGACACATTATATTGGGTTATTATTTTATTTATCGTGATGTATTGACATTATAACATAATTAATGTTCGTTTGTATAATTATTTCCTGGAATTTTTTTGAACGCTATTTTATTAATTTTGTATGGGATAAATTCTAATATATTATGCATGTACGTTTTGTGACGTGTCATCTATAAATTTCTTCGTTATCAGATAATAACGT